TGTATCTCTAGAAATCAAATTAACTCTGGCTCTGAGCCCCCACCTACCTCAAAAATGGGAGATTCGATCTCAGGTCATGCCTTCTTTGTTGGGTGGGAGAGGCAACCTGCTTTCCACCCTTAAGTTGTATAAACATATGGCAAGCTACAGAAAATATCTGGAAGAACATACGGGCATTTGTGTTGATGGCCGGCATTAGGGTAACTCCTAAGCTAACTCCACATGGTTCCTTTGTGGGTGGTAGTATCATGCCTTCCATTTTCCCCTTAGCCACCTGAATGTTTTCCGTGGCCCAAAGGTAGTGGTGTTGAGGGGAGCCTGCTTCTCCCTCTCCAGCTCCCCTATGCTGTGTTCCCTCTCTCGCTCGCTCTCTCTCTGTCAAATCAATCAATCAATCAATCAATCAATCAGTCCTAGATAGTTTGCAATGCAGGGGTCTAGGGAAAAGAATGTATGAAAAATGGTGAGACCATATATTCATTTTGAGAACAGGGTGAGCTTCAAGCTTCCAGATTGTACATACCTGCTTTAAGACTCTTCATCAAACTTGTTACATATTATATTAGTGAGTTACAGGGATTTATCTTTTGATATTGAACCATCCTTTCATTCCTGGGATATACCCGCCTCGGTCTAGGGGCTGATACTCTCATCACATTTACTCTGTGCCAGGAACTACACTCATGCTAACTCATGTGATCCGCTTTAACCCTATTATGTAGATGTTATTATTGTCCCCAGTTTACAGATAAGAATACTGAGGCACATAGAGGTTAAAGCGATTTGCCAAAGGCCACGCAGCCAGTTCAAGCGCTGTCTGGGCTATGAATACACGAAGTCAGATTCCAGAGACTGCGCTATTGACCACGGATGCCTGCCTGGACTTCAACTGCTGCTTTTGACTTCTGGCTTTCAGGAGCGTTTGTGTCTGCTCCACATTGTTTAATTAATCTGATATTAGTGGTAGTGGGGACGTTTTCTTCCCATGATTGGAAAAACCAGAAGAGGCCGGGTTAAAAGCGTAAGCACATGTAAAGCTGCCATTCCTTCTGTGTCTGCTCACGGTCACACGGCCAAGCCAAATGTCCCAGGGGGTGGGACGTAGAGGACGCTGCACACTCTAGGGCAGGCTCCGCGAACTCCCATGGCCCAAGGGCACAGATGTGTAATACTATGATATGGAGAAATAAAATATCAGGAACAATAATCCAAACTTCTCTGGTCAGATTTGCCAAGTTTACTTATTTTATTTTTGTAAAGAACCAGTTTTTTTAAATTTTATTATTAGCTTTATAGTTATTTCCTTATTCTAATTCATTAATTTGATTGTTTAAATTTTTATTCTTCCTTTGCTTCTTTCTTTCTTATACTGTCTTTTTAAAAATATCAATTTGGGACACCTGGGTGGCTCAGTCGGCTCAGGTCATGATCTTAGGGTCCTGGGATCGAGTCTCTCTCTGCCTGCTCTGCCTGCCGCTCCCCCTGCTTGTGCTCTTTCACTCTCGCTCTCTCTGACAAATAAATAAAATCTTTAAAAATAAATAAAAATAAAAATATCAATGTATCTGTTTATAGAGGCAGCAGTCCTGGGAGGACTCCTTCTGAGGCTTGTAGTATCAGTCAGCCTTCATTCTGCTTATTTCCTACTGTGTTTGGTAAGTTTTACAAGGGGATCTCAAACTTAGCTGATCGCCATCTGAGAAAATCCTGAGGCACCTAGCATGCATGTCCCTATGGTGCACTAAGGTGTGACGAGCTGAGACACTTGAAAAACTATTTTTCATCTTGGCATAAATAGCAAAATTCAATAATAATCATCTTGGCAGAATAATAATAGTGTGTAGCATGCTTTAAAACCCAGGCCTAGGATGCCTGGGTGGCTCAGTTGGATAAGCGACTGCCTTTGGCTCAGGTCATGATCCAAGGTCCCGGGATTGAGTCCTGCATTGGGCTCCCTGCTCACTGGGGAGTCTGCTTCTCCCTCTGACCCTACCCCCTCTCGTGCTCTCTCTCTCTCTCTCTCTCAAATAAATAAATAAAATCTTTAAAAAACAAAAAACAAAAAACCCAGGCCTAGGCGAGGACAGACTAAAAATACGCATCTGCAAAGGTGGATCTTTTCCCTAGCAAAGTCAAGGCTTTCTTATTGTCCCTTTCTTTGCTCATCCTTCCCTCCTCCTGCCATATTGTCTCCCCTGCTTCCCCAAGCCACTTTTCCTCTAGTCTGTAGCATAGAGGGTCCTGGTTTATGTAATTCTCTGTTTCAAACTCCCACCCTTCTGGGAGGTCTGCTCATTTGCTGCATGGGTCGGATGTTCTTTGTCCTCTGGGCCTGGGGCCCTTCACAGTTATGCCAATGGCATCAGGAAACACAGCCTTGAGAGGGGTCTTCTGTACAGGGGGCCCCAGGAATCTGGGAGGGCTGCCAAACAAGGCTTAGTGACTTCGAGTACACAGAGCTGATGACCCTCGAGAAGCCAGAACACCAATCGCAAGGCAGACTCAAAGGGAAGTGGCCCCTCCCCGACTCCCCACCAGGGAAAAAGCAAACCTCTCGAGCTATTTGGTAAGACTAAGTGTTTCAGAGAGTGAGTGTAAATTTGGGGGAGGGCAGGAATCAAAGGTCGGGTCAGGGACTTGAAAAAGGCCACTTGATGAGGCTCTGGAGATAAGAAGCGGTCGCTGCTGGAAACCCTGTGCGGAGGCATCGAGGACTGGCCAGCCACCTGCTCCTGCTCATGGTCTCCGCTCCTCCCCCTGCTCTCTCAGGGGACCCTTCCTGTGTGCCCAGCCCTGGGGTGCACCGTGGAGACAAGCTGGTGAAGCAAACACAGCTCCTGCCCTAGAGAAGTAGCTGGGAGCGTGGGCACCGATGTTAACTCTGGGGGGAGAGCAGTCGGGGAGCTGCTCTGTGGAGGCCATGCGGAAGGACCCATTCACTCAGTGACTGTTTCCAGGCACCCTTCCCAGCAGCGGTGACTGTTTCCAGGCACCCTTCCCAGCAGCGGTGACTGCTTCCAGGCACCCTTCTGAGTGGGGCAGCAACAGCTGAGGACAAGATCCCTGTTCTGAAGGAGTTCTTGTTCTAAAGGAGGGCAGCAGTCAACGAATGTGCAACTAAATAAACAAGACAGTTTTACAGGGATAGCTATTACAGGCAGAGAATTAAAACAGAAAGAGAAGATGGAGTGGCTACTTAAAATTAAATGATAGAGGGGCGCCTGGGTGGCTCCGTCAGTCGTTAAGTGTCTGCCTTTGGCTCAGGTCATGATCCCAGGGTCCTGGGATCGAGCCCCACGTCGGGCTCCCTGCTCCACGAGAAGCCCGCTTCTCCCTCTCCCGCTCCCCCTGCTTGTGTTCCCTCTCTCACTGTCTCTTCTCTCTGTCAAATAAATCAGTAAAAATCTTAAAAAAAAAAAAAAATTAAATGGTAGTGGAAAGCCCTTTCTCCAGAGAGAATATTTAAACTGCAATGTCAATGACAATAATCATGCAAAGAAGAGGCAAGCATCCTAGGCTGGAACAGCTGTAGTGCAAGTGCCCACATCCAGCCTTGAATTTGAATTATCTACATACACTCCCTCCCCTGTGCCTTGCCCTTGGACATCGCGCCTCATCCAAAGAAGACCTTTGATAAATGTTGTGAATGAGAAGGGAGGAATGAGGCGACTCAGTGTTTAATCCCTCCCAACCCCCCACCCCACCATGAACCAAACACAAGTGGGGGGCGGGGGAACTGACACAGGGGTGTGAGCCTGTATGTGTAGGCGTGTGTGGACATGCGCGTGCTCACACATGAGTGCGTGTTCGGTGGAATGTCTAATCATGTCTCTTCTAGAAATAAATATCTGGCGGGAAGTACTGTCTAGACTATGACTCTGGAGAGTTAGAGGGACGGAGCTGCAGGGATGCATAGGAGGGAGCAGCAAAGGGAGGATTGCGGGCTATTCAAGTAGTGAGCTGCCCAGTGCTGGGCCTCGGACCTCAGCAGTGACGCTGAAGAGCTGCCCCAGTAGACAGCGGTTCTGAGGACAGTTGTTTATTAATCTGGGGTTGAAGGCCAGTCCAGCACTGTCCCCGGTCACCAGGTTAATTGGGCCTGACGTCCCTGGGCTAGAGGACCTGCTTCCTGGCCGTAGCCCCCGTGCTTTCAGGAGGCCCAAGTAAGTCATTTCTGGAGGACAGAGGGAAAGCCCTGGGCCAGGGGTCCGGCAGGGGCTTCTGTCCCCTGTTCTGAAGGAGTTCAGGGCCTCTGTCTCCCTCTGACCTGGGGCATTTGTATCCTTGCAGGGTCCACTTGACCCTTCTGCAAACAAAAGGGTGGTCTTTTCAGCCAAAGGGAAAAATGTAAGTGGGCTGTGTCTGCCAACAACATGTTTAAGCCCTGACCTTGACCTCCAGGACGATCAGGGGAAGTTGAAAGAAAGAAAGAAAGAAAGAAAGAAAGAAAGAAAGAAAGAAAGAAAGAAAGAAAGAAAGAAAGAAAGAAAGAAAGAAAGAAAGAAAGAAAGAAAGAAAGAAAGAAAGAAAGAAAGAAAGAAAGAAGGAAAAGAAGAGAAAAGAAGAGAAAAGAAAAGAAAAAAGATAGAAAGAAGAAAGGTGGAGAAGAATGTGATCAAGAAAGTTCTCCTCCAATTCCTTACTTCTCACTGTGTCCTGGAGGAAGGGAAGGGTTAAGGCAGGTGACAGGCCAGGGAAGGCAAGGGCAGAGGCAGCAGTGAGGGAGGTTCTGGCCAGGGACACGGGGATGAGAGGCCAGACAGGCCCACGGGGGCTGGGCTGCCAAGCTTCTGGAAAGGGGGCCAGCTTGAGCAAAAGCTGGATGGCGATCTGACAGCCGGCTTGGGGAACGGAGCTGGGGAGGCCTCTGGGCAGCACACAGAGGATCCTGCCAGGAGAAGGAACGAGGGCTGACAGCCTGCCAGATCCAGCATGAACTGAAATTTCAGGAGCCTGGGTTCTGGCTGGCAAAAAATGGCTTCTCAGTGGAAAATCTCAAGGCAAGGGAAGGAGAAATCTGTCTCATCTGGCCAGGATCAAGGACCAAAGGAGGTTCTATTCTGAGAGTCAGAACCCTGCCTCAGGACACCCTGGGTCCTGAGCCCCCCCAGCAAGTGCCTGTCACAAAGTAGAGACTTGCTGCAAGATGACAGACAGGCTGCCAGGGAAACCACTGGGATTGATCCCAGGGGCAGATGTGGCCTTGAGTGAAGGACGGGCTTTTTACGTGAAATGAGAGAATGGATGTCATAAACCAGGTGTCCTGCCGAGAAATGGGTCTTGTGGGACCTCAGGTTACCTGCTGGAGTTTGAGTCTAACTTTAGGGCCCATAGGAAGGGGAAGAAGAGGGGAACTGGGGCTCCCTGGAACCTCAAGAAGGGAGTCAAGAAAGAGGAGCCAAAGCTCACACAGGCGATGAGCTCTTGGTCTTTCTGCCGGGCCATGGGAGCAGAGGGCTAGTTTGTGATCGCCAGACCGTGTGGGCTCTCACACGGAGGGGCGGCCTAACTTCCCAAGGCTCGAACCCACAGGGCCCCTGTTGTATCACTCTTGCATGTACGACTGTTATATTACCTTCGTTTTAGCACTGAACTACCTCTACTACTTCTCGCTTGTAGCTTGGGAGTAACGCAGAGCCAAGAGCCCTGACGGTCCCCTCTAGGTCTCCTGCCCCCAGCACAGGGTCTGGCACAGCAGAGGGGGTGGCAAAGGCTGACGAAGCAAGAGGAGACAGAATTATTTCCCCTGACTTTCTCCACCCTAAGGTTCAGGGCCATGCTCCTGTTTTCGTCGCTTCCTGTCCTTCTGTGTATGTTGACAACAGCCAACTCAGAAGCAGAAGCCTCGGGCGATGCCCAGAAGACGTGCCCAGTGATCACCTGCGCCATCCCAGGCAGAGATGGACGAGACGGACCCAAGGGAGAAAAGGGTGAACCAGGTACAGGACAGGCCGCTCTGATTTCCTAAATCTTTACCCCCCACCGGAGACGGTTCCCCCAAGGGGTCTAGCAGAGACAGGACAATGCTCACCTCTCATTACAGTGGGTGACCATTCACTCAGAGTCATTGCTGTGAAAGGTCATTCTCTCCAAAACAAAGATGCTTCTCTGATCCTCCAGGAGCCCACATTTCCACACAGGAATCCGCGATGTGGGGTCACTTGTAGAGAGCAGATGTCCTGCCTGCCTGTTCCTGAGCTGGCCCTTAGAACAGGCTGTCCCCTGGAACGCAGGAGGATCTTTTTACTTTGGGTCGTCACTGGCTCACTGGAGGTTTTCTGGGATCAGTGTAAATCGAACTGAACTTCTGGAAGAAGAGAAGGCGCCACAGCCCCTGGGTCACTTTTCCTTCCTCTTACAACAGGGCAAGGGCTCCGGGGCTTACAGGGCCCTCCAGGAAAAATGGGGCCTCCAGGAAATATCGGGCCTCCTGGGGTTTCAGGACCAAAGGGCCCCAAAGGAGACCATGGAGATAGTTCAGGTAAGGAGCTCACCCCAGCCCAGTGTGTGCCTAGGGGACCCGGGGCTCTGGGGCCTCGAGGGCCAGGTGGGAGGTGGCCCTTTTCCTGCTGCCCCATTGGAAGATGCCCGACTGCTCCCGACCCAGTATACTTGTTCCCCTGAGCGTGCCGCCCGAGTGCAGACTTCCAAACCCTGCCTTCTCCTCCCCAGGGCTCTGTGGGAGACGGGCCCTGGCTCTTGCTCAGCAGACACAGTCTGCGTTTGTCTCCAGGTTGGGAGGGAACAGTGATGTCCTCTCGGGCGCCGCCTTCATGTCTATTGTCAAAAGAGTGGCATGAAAACGGCTGGTTTCCTAGGACCCCTGAATCGTAGGGAACGTCATGGCAACTTCATTCAGGGTCAAAGGAAGTAAATTCAGTCACAACAAAAGTAAAATGATGGCCTCTTGTTAATATCTGCCAGCTGGCCCATCAGATTGATAAGAGTATTAAGAAGTTTGCCTGGAATAAGAAATGAAAGAGAATGGTTAAGGAAAATTTTCAAAAAGGAAAATCATGAGTTGGGCTTTTTCTTATAAATAGTTATAATATAGCAACACTTAAGCAGTATGTGAACAAAAAGATCCAGAGTCATACTTTATAAGTTATTTTTTATTATTATTAGTTCAGAGTTAATAGTTTACAAGAGCTAATAAGTGAATCTCAGAAGGCAGGAATCCAGAGGTTTTCTTCCTCTGGCTTCGTTTTGGTTTCTTGTTTCTCTAGAATAAGCATACTCTTCAGTAAGCTCTTCCCCCCGGCCCCGCCTTTGGCAAAATACTTTCCTCTCCAGTCGAGGGTCTTCTCATTAAATGACCTTCCTCCTATTGCTTCGCAGTTGCTGAGACAAAGCTGGCTCACCTAGAGAGGGAGATAACGAGTCTGAAATCAGAACTGGACCACGTCAAAAAGTGTAAGCTCGTTTTCTGTCCCCCAGTGTGTTCTTGGCTCTCACCTTTTCCTTGCGTGCTCTAGGTTTCAGGGAGGGTGGACGAGGGCTAACATTTATGAACACTTACCATATCCCGTGGCCTGTGCCGGGTCGGCCTTCTCTCACAGTACGGTTTCATTCAATCCTCTCACTGGCCTTATTTGTGAGGATTAGACCCATTTCGTTTACAGGTGAGGAAAAATCAGTCCGGGAAGTATAGATAACTCACTTGCAGTCCCACAGCTAGGAAGTAGCAGAGGAAGGATCTCACGTGAAGGTCTGACGCTTCCAGAATCTTGGCTTGCTCTTTGGCAACCCTGGGTCTCCGATGGCTATCCATCCATGCCTGGTGCCCAAGACTGGCAGGGTGGCCCAAGCATGTTTCCCTCTGTCCCCCTATACCGGGCCAGTTTGTAACAGATGTTTGTCTCCAGGGTGGGATCTCCCAGGAGGGCGTGAGCTTTCTGCCGGGGACTTGCTCTATAGCTAAGGAGGGCTTCCTGACTAGGATCTGACCTGGTGGTTGAGCATGGGGCTATTTTTCAGAGTCCTGAGTTCCCAGAGCAGGGCTTTTCCCCCTAGTGTCCTGGGCTGAGCGCCAAGCCCAGTCAAACCCTCCCATCCATTGTGATTTCAGTGCAAGCGTTCTCCTCGGGCAAAAAGACTGGGAAGAAGCACTACGTGACCAACGGTGAAACAATGCCTTTTTCCAAAGTGAAGGCTCTGTGTGCCGAGCTCCAGGGCACTATGGCCACCCCTAAGAATGCCGAGGAGAACGAAGCCATCCGGCATGTGGCCAAGAACGTGGCCTTCCTGGGCATCACGGATGAGGTGACTGAAGGCCAGTTTATGTATGTGACAGGAGGGAGGCTGAGCTACAGCAACTGGAGGACAAATGAGCCCAACGACCACAGCTCTGGGGAGGACTGTGTGACCATCCTCGAGGACGGGTTCTGGAATGACATCTCCTGCCACTCCTCCTTCCTGGCCGTCTGTGAATTCCCAGCCTGAGGAGGCAGCTTCCTCAGCCCCCTCCTGGCCTTCCTGCTGTGTCCCCTATGGCTCTGAAAGGGAATTCATGGCCCCCTAATGTTGACTCATTCTTTCATGAGGATGGGAGGGAAATAAAGGGGAAGAGTGTGTGGGATGAGGAAGCGAGGAGAAGTGGACAGTGGGCCTCGAGGGTTTCTGGTCCTTCCTAAGAGCACAGCAGCAGGTCAGAGTCAGCCATGGAAAGGGCCAAGTCAACCCCCTCCTTCCTCAGTGAGGAGCCCACGGCCCAGCCGAGGGACCAGTGGAGGGCCAGTCTGTGTCAGGGCAGGAGACCTCAGCCTCCAGGAGATGCAGTTCCTTCTCCCCAGCGTGTTGCCACTATTGGATGCCAACGTCTCCTGCCCTCTGTGCCTGCCCATGGCTAGCCCAGCCCTGTCTGTGACGTGGGTGCTATTATAGTTGTTTACGAGCTGCACCGGAAATCTTGCACCACCAGACTGGAACATCCGGCAGTATCCCCCATGGGTAACGAGGCTTAGTCCCAGGAGTCCCCTTACCCTACCCAAGTGCCTGTGGCCTCCCTATCATCACTAGGGTGATCTTCAGGACAAAGGGCAGCCTTTCCCTCCTGCATACTTTGGGGACACTGATTTGATATCATGATGTATTCTAGCATCACAGAGGAGGCAATGCTCAGGCGGGTTGCGTCCGTCCCTACGGGGCAGGTCTCAGTCCCTCCACGTTCCGCATCCCCTTCCTTCTGGGACGTCCTCGTCCCAGCCTAAGTCCACAGGCCCATTATTATAGAGACAAGAGGAAACACTCCCCAAAGGTGAGCTTCACCCTGTCAAATGATCTAGCATCATTCAAATTATGGATGTCACCCCGTCCGATCATGCAGCAGCATCCGGTCAGGAGATAAAACCTCCCTCTGAGCAGGGTTCTATTGCCGTGTTGGCCAGCAGCCCTGTGCATGACCAGGGAGGGTCCCCGGGAACCCCAGAGTAAGTGGAGTTGAGATTATACAGAGCCCATGTGGCAAACTGGGGGAGGAAAGTGAATTCCAGCTTCAAGTGTACGCCATTCACAAAATGAGATTAGAAAATATTTCACGAATGGACCCAGGGCCACTTTCGCTTAATGAACTATTTTTGTAGAAATTAGTTTTCTTTGTGTCGAAATTATCAGAGAGAACACCCCTTATTTAGGAAACATTTGATGAGTATTCGTGGAATGGGTACGGGCAAAGAATCCCCCAACAGAGGAGCGGGTTGGATATGAGAGGTGAATATAAGGTGGAGTTCTCTCCCCGGCCAGTTCCCGCCACAGGACAGTCGGGGCAGGGGGAGCGCCGGGCAGGGACGGGCTGGTGGCCTTGGCATTGGCAGGGGGACGATGACAGGACCTATGTCCTTGGCCTCTAACACACCCAGGCTGTCCCGTCACTGAATCTTCAGTGAGGCTTGTCTCCAGGCACTGTCCCTGGGAGCAATGAGAAGAGTATTTTTGTGACGTTGAGCAGAGCGGTTCTGCTTTCAGGGCAAACCCAGAGAGCTCACCAAAGGGATGGGGAAACTGCTTACGGTGTAGGGGCACATATGGAGCCCTAGGTTCTGACACATAGAAAAAGGGAAGACCAGAAACTTTTTAGAAGGAGAGAAGATACACATACAACAGCCCCGAACAAGAGAATTTCCATCAACAAGCACGAAAGTTACACCTGAATTTTCTTGTAGCCGAGACAAAAATGAGGAAACAGACAGATGGGGCACCTGGGTGGCTCAGTCAGTTAAGCGTCTGCCTTCAGCTCAGGTCGTGATCCTGGGGTCCTGGGATCAAGTCCCCATCGGGCTCCCTGCTCAGCAATGAGTCTGCTTTTCCCTCTCTCTTGCTCTCACTCTCTCTCAAGTAAAAATCTTTAAAAACAGAAAAGAAAAGGAAACAGATGAGCACTATGTAATTCCATCTGATTTGTGTAAGGAGGTGGGGTCGTGTCCAACTTTCATTTATACTGTGCATAAAGGACAGTATCTTTAGCTGTGAAGTGGTAGAAGTTACAATCACGCATTTCATGTGGATGGCTTCCCAGGATGTACGGATTGCCTCCTAAGTCAGGGAAACATAGGAAAAATCCATAGGACAAGCTCAGATTCTTCCATTCCCCCTTCAGGAGGGGGAATTCTTCACTTGTTCTTCCCTGATCTAGAACCTGATCATCTTTTCAGAGCTCCTCTCTCTAAATGAATCCCCTAGCTGCCGTTCTTCACTCAATCTGGAACTGAGGCCCCCACCTCCCTGTACCGTATCAGCAAGCAGTGGGGCCCTGTGCAAGTTAGCTCCAGAGGAGGTGGAGCTGATCTACAGACACAGGATTCTCATCAGAGTCCAAAGATAGAAAGTGAAGTTCCTCCAGGCTTCTCAGGACCTGGAGTAAGAGTGAAATTATGGATTCACAGTCTCTCTCCCTCTCTCAAGGGCTAAGGGCAGTCAGTTTCCTTTCCTAAGGGGCATGCAATGATTGATATCTCTTGCACAGGGGATGAAATGGAGCAAGGCGCTCCAAGGACAGACCTTAGGGGCTCCAGGGAGCACATTCCTCTTGAGCCCTGTTTTTCGTTCTGATGCAATAGGAGTCTCTGCCATAGCATTCCCCAGATTGGTTTTTTTGGACCAGAGAACTGGGAGACATACCCAAGCTGTAGTCTTCCTTTGCTGCCTCTTGCAAAGAGTAACCTGAAGGTCATGCCTCAGAGCGTTCCTGCCAAGGAAGCTGGTGTTCAGACCTCTGTGGGGCTGGGGCCCTGACTCTGGGGTCATGCCCAGGAGAAGGACAAGGCCTGGGTCTCTGTGTGCTTTGTTAGGGCTGGAGGAGAGGTGGCTTGGCGGGTGGGAAGTTCAGGATTTGGAAGAGGCCTGTGGTTCGAGGTTAGCTCCCTAACTAATGCACCGAGTGGCATGTCGGCTCTCTGGGCCTCAGTCTCCCTATCTGTAAATTGGTCTGTAATGGCTTCTTCCTTTGAAAGTTGTATGAATCAAAGGTTACATAAAGATTCAGATCTGCATCTCCCTCTGACCTGCCCCCTCCCATGCTCTCTCTCTCTCATTCTCTCTCAAATAAATAAAATCTTAAAAAAAGGAAAGGCACATGTGCACAGAGTGCTAGAATATTTTAGGGGCGCCTGGGTGGCTCAGTGGGTTAAGCCTCTGCCTTCAGCTCAGGTCATGATCCCAGGGTCCTGGGATCGAGCCCTGTGTCCAGCTCCCCGCTCAGCAGGGAGTCTGCTTTTCCCTCTCCCTCAGCTCCTCCCACTGCTTGTGCTCTCTCTCCCAAATAAATAAATAAAATCTTAAAGAAAACAAACAGAAGATTCAGATCCACAGGGCCCATTTCACGAGCAAAGCTGCAGGATCTGAGAACTGTTTTCAGTTTTTGTTACTTGTCAATCACTTTTGTGCAAACAAATTGTGGCCTAAACACTTACCACCTATTTCTTGAGTCCATAGAAAGCCAGTATGAGTAAGTTAGAAGGGCAACCATGCCCTGTTTTCAAAATGGGAACTTCGAATTTAAATTATGTCTAGAAGTCAACAGTCTCCTATGGAGGTATAGAGGCAGCCAGTGTAACTGTAATTTGCTCCCTGGGTCAGAATGAAAAGAACTACCGAAGCTCACAACATTCAAGGCCTAGGCTTCAGCCTGAGGGTGGATCCTGAAATTGCAGGGCCTTGTTCCTGCAGGACGATCTTTCTTTGGAGTCCTATAGCTCTGCTGTTCTCACTTTTAGTCATGCCCCAAGCCAGCGGAGGGGGACTTGGGGTACCAGCTGAAGGCCCAGCTTTCACATTCCTCAAATCGCCATCCTGCCTGGGACCCATCCCGCCTCCCTTGTCTGTGGCTGTCAGAGATCGGCCAGCATCAGGGGTCTGTCAGACCGTGCGTCATGGAGAGAGCCTCTGACCTGGAATGTTGTTTGCTCATCACTTAACTGCTCTGTGGTTTGGAACCTGCCAGGAATCAGGGACTTTCTTCTCATATGCCAGGAAAGATTGAATGTCACTGTGGAGTTTGGCCTTGGAGATGTTGGAAAGTGGATTTTGCAAAGCGATGTTGCCCTGTGACCCTGAGTGGCTGATGGAGTGCTGGGAAGGTGGGAGGAGCTCCGGGCTCGGATTCTGGGAAGGAGTGCTCCCCACCCCCGCAGCGACCTGTGTGGGGAGGAGATGGTGTCTCCAACTGCGGACCAGGGGTTTGTCCAGGCAAACACACATGTCATGCTCTAAAGAGGTGGGATGCAAGTTGCCACTTATGGGCTAAACCAACACCTTGGGCTTAGCTGGGCCCCTGCTAACCCAAGGGCCGGTGTGCTCTGTCCTGGACGGCAGAGAGTTTGTGCCCCCTCATGCAGCTCTTCAGAGTAGGGCCCAGGAGAACTGCCTGGAATGCTTGACAAAATCATAGGCTCTCAGCCCCACCCTGGATCCAGTGACTCAAAACTTCCGAAATCTGTCATTTTCTCCAGATCCTTAGGCAATCCACATGAAACCACTGGCCCGAGAAATACAGTCACTCTGGGGAAGCCAACAGACCCAGTGCTTGAGAGTCCCAGCATCCTGCTCTGAGGGAGCTCAGCCTCAGCCTTCCCCCAGCCTGTGTCCAGGCCTCTCTCTGCACACCCCTTGCTGAGGAGCCATGGCTTGGGGGGGTTCCGAGGGCTCTGGGTGAGGTGTGTGGGTGCTCAGTCATGGACAAAAGGGTCCACGAGGGGCCCTGAGCTGTGCCCCAAGGAGACTGTCCGGGTGCTAATGGGCTCTTCCTCCCCTGCCTCAACCCCGGTCACCATGCCAATGCTCCACGTTATTTTCTTGTTAGCAATTCTAATCACCTGGAATCTTCTTGACCATTTACTTGTTCAAGTTATATCTGTGAAGCAAAGCCATTAAGAAGACTCTGGAGCCAGGGCGCCTGGGTGGCTCAGTTGTTGAACGTCTGCCTTCGGCTCAGGTCATGATCCTGGGGT